CGGTGCCTCTTTGATCAGGCGCCCAATGAAGACAGGCAAGGGGGCGGTGGGGTCGTTCTTCAAGTAGAACCACTATGCGTGCCACCCCTTGTTGGATCTGGATAGCTGGCAGTGCATGTACTCGGCCACCCGCTACACCCGGAGGTGGATGCCCACGCATCCCATTGGCATCGGGATCTCCTTGCCTCTGTCCTTCTTCCTGTGCACGGAGACAACGAAGAAGTACCTCCACAACTTGAAGTACGGCTCGATCCCTAGGTACCCCTCGCACATCACAATGAAGGCCATGACATGCTAGATCTCATTGGTGTTGAGGTGTTGTAGCTCGATCTGGTAGTGGTGCAGCAGCCCCTAGAAGAACGGATGAGGGGGGATTGCGAACCCGCGCTCGTGGAAGGGCGCGAAGGAGATGATGTAACCGTCAAGAGGCATTGGCACATCCTTGTGGCCGAGAACCAGCCACTCCATCATGTCGATCCTCCCACGAAGAAGACCACGCTTGACGTGGCCCTCCATGCGTGCGTGGGTGATGTCGTAGTGGTACCATGACTCCATGGAAAGCGAAGACAGAAGAGCAAGGACTTTTTGGCGGTGGTGGAGAAGCGAAGGCTACGGATCTAGGGCATTGGCGATGGATTAGCAAGGGCAGTAGATCCGAACAACGGCGGCGGAAAGACGGAGAAGGCAAGGTTGCGATTTAGTATGCTGGAATGTGAAGGGGGAGGCCGCTATTTATAAGGCGGGGTAAGGCGAGAGGCGAACCGTCCACCTAGATTTACACGCCCGCTACGCCACGTCACATTGCCCCCTTGAAGATCGTGCGTATGCCACCTCTGGTCGCTCCCTTGAAGGACGCACCAGATGACGGTTCGCCCCATTCGGTGGTCTGAGAACCGCCATAGGTAAGGAATGATACAGAGCTAATAACGCTCCCCTGGCCTATTCAGGCCTAGGAGTTCGAAGGTTGACCCATCGGAGGGTTCACAACCGCTTTGGGGTGCCTTTAGAGTGAGGGGTGGAAAGGGATGGGCTCGCTAGTGGCCAGTACCTAGGCGCATGAGTGCCGCAAGCATCCCGGCCCACGTTCGAGTCTTGGTCGGTTCACAGTCCATGGTTTTTCCTTGAAGAAATGCAGCGAGCCCTTAGGACCGATCGAATGGACCCAAGAACTATATGGATTGACCACCAAGAATCTAGAGTCGGTCACCAACTGACCCATGCTGGACCCGCACAAAAGGGAAGCTAGGGCCCCACTCGGACTAGCCCATTAATAGCTCATCGAGCACCATGATTTGTCCATCGAGGAAAACAAGGCACGACTCAGCCCCACCATTTTATCGAAAAATGCTTGAGGGAGGACGATCACAAGATGAGCTGACCCATCGACCAGACCCCTGCTACACGTGGGGGCTCGAGAGAAGTCATACTCACAAGGAGACCGAATACACTGTCACATGACGATGGTGGATCGAGCGGATCCTAGGGAGGGATCAGAATCAAGAGAAATCTTTTTCAGTCCCTTGAATCCCGAAGCTACATTTTCCCAAGGAGTCCGATCGCAACAGAAGGGAATCACAACCCACCAAGGCGTCCTGTGGGTAGTAGAAGATCCAAGCCCTCGAAGTCCATCCATCCAAAAAAGCCTACGAAGGAGTATCCTACTCCTCCGCAGGCTTAAGGGCTACTATCAGATATCAATATTAGGGATATCCGAAGAAGGGATCTGAGGACCACGGACGACAACTCGCCTAGATAATCAGAGATGTATTTCAGTCTCGACCGACCCTGAAGGGACGGTCTTCGTCTTGCCAAACCCTGAAGGGACGATCTTTGTCTCGCCCGACCCCTTGGGCACAGGCCCCGTGCCGCCTGACCCCGAGGGTATGGGAGCCATCTCACCCGACCCTGAGGGCACCGGCCCCATCTCGCCCGACCTTGAGGGCATAGGCCCAGTGTCACCTGACCCTAAGGGTACGAGAGCTGTCTCACCCGACACTGAGGGAACGACCTCCGTCTCGCCTGACCCCTCGGGCACAGGCCCCATGTTGCCCGACCCTAAGGGTGTGGGAGCCGTCTCGCCCAACCCCTAGGGAGCGAGCTCTGCCTCACCCGACGAGGACCCGTACCGCCTCCAACCACTATGGGTCTAAGGGTACGACCCCAGGGTCAAACTTCTGACACTAGAAGGGAAGTGGGCACGTCTCGATGTGACCCAAGGCCACGTTAGGCCACGCCTGGGGGTTCACATCGCCAACAGTGATGTGTGCGTGGTCGCTGTTCTGCCTACTCCCTGTACGGCTGCTGACAGGCACGTCGGTTCACCATGTTGTCCATCGGAACAGATGGGATGCCATGACCAGCTGATTACGTTGAGGCATGGCACCAGTGGTGAACAGGAGCCCAATGTGGAGCCATCCCCATCACCATCTACAGCGTTGGTGGGACCCGTATGAAGGAGAAAAGGACCTCGCGGCCCTAGAGGCCTTCTCCTCCCTCGCTTTTCCCCTTCTCTCTCTCTGTAACCTACGCCTTCCCCTTCACCTATAAAAGAGGAAGCAGGATGCCCCAAGAGGGGGCGAACGAACACACGGCTGAACGAGCTGAACAAGACTCAACTCCATTCGATCTTTTCACTAGAGACATGGGAACTTCTCCCTCTCTCGCTCATTTGTAACCCCTACTACAAACTAGTGTCGGTAACACGAGCAGCAGCAGACTGGACATAGGGACATTCTGCTCGAACTAGAGCACACCATCCGGGCCAGACACGTAGATACAAATTTACTAGCCGGTGATCCGAAACACCAACAATGTTACACTAAGTGTCAAATTAGATTAGTTTTAAGTAATCAGTGAGTAATTAGATCTAACTTAGGATTAAGGTTTTTGCAGTTAATTGAGATTAAGTTTTTTCTTGAAATCAGAGGTGTTTTTCACCGAATCAAACCGAGTTAAGCACTTAGAAGATGGTGATTTGGGCAAAACCCGATTAAAGTCCCAAAGATCCCCATTTTATTTTTCCCCAAAATCAAGAACCCTAAACCCTAAGATTAAGCATCTGGCATTGAGATTGAGACAGAGATTGCACCTGTGTTTTTTGTACCCATTTTCAGATCGGGTCATCGCTGCAGAATATGCTACCCCGCAACTACGCGCGAGCACACGGTTTCATACCTGGCTCCTTAGGCCTGGTCGCCACCGCCACCGCTGGATCGCGCAGGCCTACCGCCATTGCGCGTGTGCCCTTGGGGCTGCCGTAGCCATGCGGATGATGGCTGGATGCGCTGCGTGGGCCACCGCCGTGCACGCCGTAAGGAGCCGCCGCTGCCGTCATGAGCTTGAGCACCCGACAGGGCCCGCTAGACAAAGCCGCGCGTAGGCTATTGCCGTGCCCGAGCGCCGCCTAGGAGGACAGCCGGTGCCAACGCGTCGTGCAGTCGTCTCTCTCCCTCTGTGCTGCTATGCGGCTGAAGCAAGGGGAGAAAAAGTGAGGAATGCGGCTAGGGTTTGTTTAGAGTGGCTTAAGTATGTATCGTTGTTTGCCTTTGGGATCTCCCAGCCGCTGATCTATATATCCAACGGATCACACTGTCTTGCGGGGAATGAGAATGGGCCGTTAGCCAGCCTGTTGATGTATAGGTGAGCGTGAAATGGGCCGACAGATGAGCACGTGATGGCTGGCCGTCACTCCGACAGTCAGGCTAATTCAATGTACTGGCCCAATTGAGTTTCATTATGAGCATGTAGGCCTACACCATTAAGTTTATTTCCCAAAATAATTATGTTTATTCCCCACTACTAATACGTTCAGATTTTAGTTTTATAAGTTTTGGAGTAACTAAAGTACGCGTGGAATATTTTTTCTAAGAATTTAAGCTTGATCTGTTAATACTTCTAAGCAACTTAACTATTGTTTGCTCACTAAGATTTATGAGTTTTCCTGTGTGTTGGCTGAGAAATTATGGATATTAGGGTTTTTGGCTAGGTATTTATACCCATGATCTTTTATCTGGATAAATCCTAACCGTTCGTCGAGTTCAATAAGATCATCCCAGCTACTAAGTTTTTCCTAAGGGGGCCATTTATTTGAATTTTTTAAGGGGAGAACTAGCTAGGCCGACTCGGCCATGAGTAGACGGTGCCCTAGCACAGTACTTTTGGGCTACTGTTAGGCCTATTCTTCAAAGGCCAAACTAAAATTTATTTTTTAAAATAATTTTCCTTTCCTATTCAATATAAGTGTAGTATTTAAGTGTTTAATTAAGTATTAGGCTTTCAATGCCCTCATTATGTTTATTTTTTAGCTTAAGTTTATTCCCAGCAACTTAGATATTGATTTATTGATTTAAGTTTATAAATTAAGTTTGTTGCTATATATTCCCATCTCAAATAAGATTTAATTATGCCCTTCTATGATAATTTTTAAGTTAAATTTAAGTATCTTTTGGGAATATGTTGCTGAGAATATTTAAGTTTAATAAATTTTTCTTTAGTGGAATTTGCTCGGTTAATTTTTTATCCCCTTTTTGAATAAGTTCTAAGTCTCAGTTTTAGCTTCAGTTCCAGTATTAATTTATGTTTTCAAGAGCACTTTATGCCGTAAGATTAAGTTTTGCTTAAGTTTGCATTCAATTATAAATATTTATATATACATATATATATCTACCACCGTATAATAAGATGATCTCTGGTTAAATGGAACCAACGAGAAGTTTAATTGTAGATTACTCATAATTAATTTCTGACCAACGTTGACTTTAATTATGAGTTATTAAGATGAATTTTATTTTGTTTTTGTCCAACGGTGATGCAAATTAAAGTTCTTAAGCATGTTGTTAATTCTGACCATCGTTGATTTAATTGCATGCTTTAAGTACATCTTATATGCAGCTTACTAATTGAGATATTATTTTGCTTCAAAATTTTTAGTAAATTATGCAGACTATATAAGTAAAATATAACCCCAAAGTTGCATTAATTTTTCTACTTGGAATAATCAGGTGCATGCCATTCTTAAGAAGCTAGACCTTGATTATGCGCTTAATGAGAAAAAACCACATGCTTGTTCTCCTATTTATGAGTACTCCGCTGAGAGGGTGAAGGAGTACATCCCAAAATTAGAAAAATGGGAGAAATCCGACAACATTGCTAAAATGATAATAACATGCTCACTCTCAGTTAACATGATGAGGAGATTTCTTTCTAATGAAAACAACACCGAGGGATTAAGTGCTAAGGAGCTTCACAACTCCATTAAAGCACACTTTAGAAAGGTTTTCCTCTTTGATAACTTACTTAATTCCCGTTATGATGGGATAAGTGGTATGGGTAATCACGTTAATATCTTGTTTGATATGGCTTATGAGTTGAAGGCACTTAGATTAGATGTGTCCAATGAGTTTATGATAAATTGCCTTATGAATTGATAAGTTTTCAATAGTCTGCAAATTTTGCAAGTTACCAAATTGATGATAAATATAAAAATGGCTACGAAAGATAGGTAACTTAAGTTGTCTCATAAGTTTTACTTAAGACATTTTCCCAACATATGGTGGATTAACTAAGGTGTAATAATGCATATCTTAACTTCTCCTCAAGTCTTGCCAAACCAGGGGAGCAAGGGGAGCAAAGTTTAAGGAACCATTGATGGAATAAAGATGAAGTCGAGCCTTGGAGCTTCGCATTAGATTAGTTTTAAACTTAGTTCTTAATGATGTTTATTGGGTTCGTTTAATTTAAGCACCTCAACTATTGGGTTCGTCTAATTTTGACCGTCAACTACAAAATCGTCTAATGTTGGTACCTCAACTATCAAAATCGTTCACTTTTAGCACCTAGGCACGAGCGGGGTTGTTTTGACCAACGTGGAGCGGGTTTGACCACGCCACGTTGGCGTTGACAACCATGTAGGACATCTGCCTCCATCTCAGTGACATGTGGGGCCCATGCGTCAACCACTCAACCCCTTCCTCTCCTTCCTCTAGCTCTAGCACTGACAGGGACCCCGCCCAATCGGACCATCTTAGCACGAGCGCGCCACGTCGCCGTAATGGCCGCCAGGCACGTCAGCCCTGCCACCACAGCTTTCCTGTCTAGGTCGTCGCCCCTCTTCTCATCGTCTGTAGGTCACACGAGGCGGGTTAGCTCACCGACCAGCTCCTCAGACTCCTCCATCGCCGCCCACGCTCTTGGGACCACCGCCACATTGCGAAGCAGCCACTCCACTAGTCTCGCCGCATCCACTCGCGCCTCCAGCGAGGTCTTGCTCCGCCGCACGCATGCCACGGACGCAGTCGTGGACGGTGCGTCAGCGGTGAGCGCTATGGCCACGCGCCTCTTGCTCTACTCCTCGATGCAGCCGGACACTGTGATTGTCGCCAGCACCCACATGACGGCCTCCCTGTCCACGCTCCGTTGTGCGGACGCCACGGTCTCCACGACGCCACCTGCCCGAGCCGCGGTCCCTGTCAGCGTCGGAGCTGCAGGATGGAGAGAGATGGGATGAGTGGGTGACGCGTGGGCCCCACATGTCACTGAGATGGAGGTTGGCGTCCTATGTGGCGGTCAACGCCAGCGTGGCATGATCAAACCCGCTCTAGGTTGGACAAAACAGCCTCGCTCGTGCCCAGGTGCTAAAAGTGAACGATTTTGACAGTTGAGGTACCAACATTAGACGGTTTTGTAGTTGATGGTCAAAATTAGACGAACCCAATAGTTGAGGGGCTAAAAGTGGACTTAATCCTTTAGTATGAGATACTTTGTATTCTGAACAAATGTTCTTGAGTTTGGAGTTTTTTAATACATCAAATTCATTCCATCATGATTTATCTTATTAATTGGCAAAGAGATTTTTTCCTGAGTTTTCTTTATGTTAGTTTTATCTTTAAGTTAATTATTAGTCAAGATGATGAGACCTTGTTGAAATTGTGTCACTATTGTTTAAGCCACATTTCGAAGGGGGGAATGGACTGTCTCATCAAAAAAGAGATGCTCTATTCAAATAAGATTATAAAGCATGTGACTTGAGAAATAAAAAGAAAAATTATACTAATTTTGTCCCTCAGCCCAACATTAGTCTCTAATTAAAGTATGACTTGCTTTCACTATTTCTGGCCAAAGCTGATTAGTGTTTGCATGTTCACCAAGCTTCTTGTTCTAGTTTATTCTGGCCAACACTGATTAGACTAGGTCATAGAGCTTATTTTTAGAGACTTATATGCCTTATGTTTGTCATTCTGGCCAACGCTGATTGATGAATATTTGACCATAAAAGTTTTACTAGGCAAAACCTCAGCAAAACATAAGTATAGTCTAGCTAAGGATAAGAAATAAGATTCTAAGTAAATGAGCTGTACACATGGCATCCTGATTATGTTCCTAGAGAACACAGAAATTAGTGGGAGCAAAGTCCAAGAGCTTACGTTTCTACTGTTATAATTGTTTCACTAAGTTGTTAAGATATGATGTGTTCCTAGAGAATGCAAAAATCAGTGGGAGTTCACAAAGGAGAAAGATTAAATATTGGAGAGATATGATTTTCTGTATCAATGACTCAAGAAGACATAAATATCTCAGTTTATGCCATAAGTCATTAGTATACCGCCATTTAAATTATTACAGTTTCTATTGTGGATTTTTAAGAGTCAATTAGTAAGCCACAACAGATATATGTAGCAACCATTAGTTGATAAGTAGGCACATAAGTAAACCTCTATTGTTATTAATCTGTTTGTGATCCATGATAAATTTATAACATGATTACATAAGAAGAAGAATTTTGTTATTCTAAACTAAGTAATTTTATGAGCTTAGGCCTATAAGTGTATATAAAGTGTGGGTGTTAATAAGTTTTCTGATGAAGTCAAACCAGTAGGCTATAAAAGGGTCTACAATTCTAAGCGTGACTTCAAAGGGAATTTTAAAAGATTTAAACTAAGAACATAGCCCATTATGGTTTAGAATTTCATTAAGTGGACAATTATGTTTATAAAAAAAGGGTGAAAAAGTTTGTTGTCCTAATACTCTATATAGGTGAAGTAGAGTTACGTGGCAATAAGAATGTCACATAAGAGTTTTCTACTCACCAAATTTTTTAATATGATATATTTTGGTGAAGCCTCTGAGTTTTTTGCTATTGAAATACAACAATACAGGACCAATTGAGTACTAGAACTATCACAAAAGGCATATCAAATGAATGCTTAACTGATAGAGTTTGAATAAGTAATGCCACACCTGTCTATTTGCACAGTGCAATTGCACAACGCAGTAAGATTAATTATCCAAAATAATTCTAAGAATAAGTTAGTAATAGTTGAAGAGGAAGACGTTCCATATGCTTCGGCTGTCATTAACTTTAAGAATGCTCAGGTCAATACTAGTCTAGACTTGGTATAGGGATACTTGTCAAAAATATTAGTTTATTAATCCAGAATAGGTCCATTGGAAGGTGCTAAAGAATTTTAAGTTATTGACGAGGCACTAAAAGAATCATCATGTCACTTGTAAGAATTAAGAATTAGTCGATTGCCAATTCTCTTGAGTATGTATAAGAAAGTGCAAAATTAGATTATACCTACTCTTGCAGAAAAGGACAGTTTTATTGAAAGCTTCAAATATAATTAGTTTTTAAGATGAGCTCAATTAGTGGCACGAATACGACAGGCCATGTGGCTTAAGAGATATTATCCTAAAAAATGAGTATTAACATACTGCTACAGGTCTACAATTGAGTTGCAGTATTATTTCAAGTAACGACACATCAAATGCAGATGCCAAACACATTGATTAAATGTTGTGAAAGAAAGAACCCAGGATCAAATTATGAAGCTTGAGAAAAAATAAGAACTAAGCTGATGCTAGCATATTTGATTATTTAAGCTTAACACTTATCCCATTTATGAGCGCGCAAATCAATTTGGGTTTTAGTTCAGAGTCTCTAACTTTTCCTAGTAATAGGGCCATATACTCCCAATAAGGAATAAGCGTTCTAACAAGGTATTACAATGAACTATGGGTAATGGGGTCTCAGTGACGATTAATACTGTTGACGACGCATTGGTCTGGTCGTGTTGTAGTACTGAGTGTGAACATAAGTGTAAGGCAAACATTAGTTGTATAATTGCATTAGCCGTTCGATCAAGTAGGAGAATGTTGGAATGTGATCGGTTCGGCTAATCCCGAACTTAATTACAAGATTCATTAATCGTTAAGTTTTTTATGTCCACCCACTCGTCATTAATATCCAACTAAATAAGAACTGTCGTGATCGGTGGTAACCCTTAGAATGTTAAGGGTTCGGCCCCCTAGCCCACAGCGCAATTATAAATAAGAGAAGCGCCCTAGACGTTATTATTCTCTCTAATCCATGTGACTATTCACATAACCAGTCAATTAGGCGCTGGAGGGTCTATGAAGGCCGTCTACCTACGTCCAGGTATTGTTGCAGATCTACGTCGCATTCTTCACCAACTAGGAGCATCAAGCCCCAAATCTAGTGAAGACTAAGATCTAGTTTATCTACGTCAACTTCTACAACAAGCACAGAGACATAGATGGCATCTACGGACTCTGGTTAGTCATTAAAATCTATTCCGTATAAGTTTGAGTTATTAATTATGCTTAGGCTAAGATTAAGATCCTGTTATGTCTTAAGTTTTATTTCAACATCCACTACTCCTTATCTTTCAGCCTGTTCGATTCGGCTGAAACGATCATGGATTATAAGCCAGAAATACTGCTGCCTAATTTAGTGTGAAAGAAAAATATTATTGTAGCTTATAATTCACGATCGGATAAGCTGAAATGAACGGGCTGTTTGTTGGCTGGTGCAAAGAGCAGTAGAGTGGAGTACAAATCCAGATGCAGGCATGCACCGAGATCGTTGGTGGTGGTTGGTGGCTGGGGAGGAGGGCGGCAACGCCAACGCCGATCAGGATATGTGGATAATAACATGTAGCATGTTCGGTTGACTGGTTTATATTGTTGCTGGTTTATGAAAAAGTATTGTTGGCTGGTTTGTGTGAAAAAAAATATTATTCCAGCTAAAAATTTACGATCATTTATGACAAGCCACGGCCAAACGACCGCCGTGGTGACAAGACATGCTCGGTGACCGGTAGCTCCTGATGCCGCGAAATGGGAGTGGCCGCAGCGGCCGCGTTTTAGCAACGGGCAGGAGGTCATTGCGACGCCGTGGTGGTGTCCCTGGCTAATGGAGGCGCTCACGGGCCAATTCGCATTTCAGACGGCCGGGGCGCCATTGATTCATCTCATCTCAAATCAAACAAAAATTAAAGAGAGCTCGGCCTAACTGCTGAGAGCGACGGGTGCGCTATGGTATGGACCTCAGTGAGCTGACAGTGACCGCGGACCTAATTACTTTCCGGCTTTCCACGAGCTTCCCCGTCCTTGGTACTGGCAGGCAAATGGGTAATCTGGCTTTTGACGAGGGGGGACATGAGCTGAGCAGCTGATGTCGTTGAGCCCAGGCCAAGTTTTACTTTTTGTGGATAATGTAGTAGCTAAAGTATCTGCCCGATGCCGATGCGGGTTGTTAAATTAGCGCCAATAATAATGCGCACTTACTCCTGCAGCTGCAGCTACAGCTAGCGGGGCATGTGGCGTTGCCGCATCGCCCCGGCATTAGTTTTACCATTTGTAGCCGAGATCGGTGTCTACCCTCATACAACTATTACAAGCAACAAAAAACGCTTTACTTTCCGAAAGATTTCTTGTCTGCGCTCGCATACACAGCATGACCGAGGAATATATAGGATTCCTTGTAGTTGTAGGTGCATGGGACAACTAGGATCCGTAGATATCTAGTATGTTCGCTTCAGCAGCAGTCGCTGTTTTGCTGTGCGATGGATCGGATGGATCCATGTGAAGCCTATTTGTTTCGTCGTAAACGATCATGAATTATTTATTGCTGGTTGATTTGGTGTGACAGAAAAATAATGTTCCAGCTTATAATCTACGATCGTATACGAGCAAACGAACAAGCTTATGCCTAAGGGTGATACGCTGTTGTGAGTTTGTGACCGGTACTGCTACAAATGCAGTGATGCGTCGTCGCTAATGGATTCCAGGTCGGACGTCCGATAGATATCAACTGCGGATGGCTGCTAGGGACAGCAATCGGATCCACGGCTGTGAATACCCGCAGGTTTCGTACCCACAGATATCTACGGATCAGATATCAGAATTGAGATAGGTATCCGAATCGGAACAGATGAGCGATGGGAGTAGCTAGTACCTACGGACAACTGATCACGGCACGGCATTCCTTTGCTTTGTTTTTGTCCGTTTCAAATTATAAAATATTTTAGTTTTCTAGATACATAGGTTTTACTATACACTTAGATATACACTATGTCTAGATACTAGCTTGGGGACCTCAAAATTATAAAATTGTTACTAGCCTCAGCAAGCTACAGTAACAATTGGAGAGCGCCTAATTTGTGTATACAGTGGCATCCGAGGCTAGCTCGACCCGCGGAGTGATAAACGAAGCCACCGCATTGGGCATGCTCTAGTAGACTCATGGTGATACGGAGTATGTGTGCTTACACAGTTGAGCTTTGCTTTGGTCATCACGTGTCGCAAGTCACTTCTCCATTCTTAGCATGTTCGTTTTATCATAAACGATCGTGGATTATTTATTGTTTGCTAGTTTGATTGGTTTGATGTAAAAAAAAATAACATTTCAGTTTATAATCCATATACGATCGAGCCGAACAGGTAGTTAGTTTCTCTCACACCTGTCGCTTTCATCTTGAGGCCCCCATGTTCTCTCTGCGCAAGCTATGGTAGCCTATGCAAGCCACACAGGAAACTGCAGACCACCTAATTTGTGCAGTGGACCTGCGGAGTCATGAGCGCGTGCTCTAAATAGACTCACCGTGACACGGATTATGTGTGCTTACAGTACTGAGCTTTGCTTCGGTCATCACTCGTGTTAAAATTGGCGGATGTCTGCTACCAGGTTGTAAGGGCATTCTCAACTAAAGAAACTGGTAGTTTCTATAATATAGGATACCGCACAAAAAAAAGTACTGTTTTTCAACCTATGATTTCTATGAGTAATAATTATTTTCTCTTTCTCTCTCCTAACTCTATCTTTTTCCTCCAATAGGAGCGCGACACGAGCTCCCTAGAAACTGATGGTTTCTCCCCAACGGCGATTTTACAGTTTCTTGGTGTATTGGGTCAAGAGTAGACCTGATTTCTTCATGAAGAAACCATTTCTATGATTTTTGCTCTCTTTCTTCATTAATTACGTTGCCATGTCAGCATTTTGCCTACGTGACAAGTCATTTAATGAGGATAGAAACCATCATCAATGCACCATTAAGACTGCCCTTAGTGCTCCTAAATAAAGAAAAGGAAATTTGCAGGAGAATGCACACGAACCAACCAACCAACGTATCGAAAACGATGGTGATTCTTTGGTGGCTTGTGTGCGCGCGGGCGCCCGGCGCTGCAGTGCAGTGCTCTCGACCGGTACAGGGATCCGGGGACACGGGCATGGCACGGAGCAGCCCTCCCCCGATCGCCTCGCCCCCAGTTGGAGACAGGACGAGCGGTGACAGCTGACAACGCCCATGTCGCATGCCATGCCAGGCTACATGGGATCGCCGCAAAAAGTTGCGAGACTTGCCGTCGCGAAGTGCCAGTGCTCACGCACTCTGACGCCACGGGCACTGGCCACTCCGCACGGGGAGCGCATGCCTCGTCCTCACCAAGGCGGACGCCCCGAGATGTGTCCATGTGCATCGTCCGCTCATGAGCTGCTGCCGCGCTGTTTCGTGGGGGCAAAACAAAACAAAAAAAGGATCCGTTTTTTCAGTTCCTCGGCCTGCTTTTCTCCTGATATCGCTCGGCTGTTTCGATTCAATTACAAATTCGCCACTTTTTTAAAACCATATTAAAAACCTGTTACAAATCTACAATTGGGAGCCCTGCGCCCGCGAGTGTATTTCTCAAAGAAATAATTTTTGAAACGCCAGAGTAGCTGGTCACCATTAGTTCCGCAGGCACATTTTCCCCTGGAAAGCTAGCATGTCGTTCTGATCCTCCTCCTATATTGAATCAAAATCGAGTCAAATTCGAGTAAACAAGAGTAGTCTCTGGAGACCAAAAGCGGGCCATGAGCATGCGCCGCTCCAACATGATGCCTGTGCTGACGCTGGTGCCGTCCCGGTATCTGGTTTCGCTGTTAACCCCCTGCCTGAAATCTCAAGATATCTCAGCCCCAGACTACGACGCCCGACGGTCAAAGATGACAGAGAGACCGGAGATTTTACAACACGATCTGCAAACTGCGAGGACCTCGATGCTAATCTACCGCTTAGCTGCGGGCGCCGCGCTGCTCCTATAAAAAACACCCCGCCCGCCTCGCCACAGCCCACGTAGTGCAGGCCAACAGCCCAACACCAGCTCTAGCCGTTTCCGTTGCAGAGTAGCTCGACAGTTTCTCAAAGCCCCACTGCCTCGAGCGGGCGGGAGAGGATCTCGGATCGGATCGGAGAGCCTACGCGGCGGTCGCGGCAGGAGCTAGCTGGCTACCCCTCGAGGTCATCAGGGAGCGGCGGCGTCGCCGCGCCCGCACGAGGCGGCGGAGCTGGACGCGGAGGCGGCGGCGTTCGCCGCGGAGGAGTCGGCGGAGCAGCGCAACCGCTTCCTGGTGCTGCGGCTGTACGAGGCGCTCAACGCCCGCGACGCGCGCCGGGCGCAGGAGCTGCTGGCGCCCGACCTCGAGTGGTGGTTCCATGGGCCCCCACGCGCCAGCACATGATGCGCCTCCTCACCGGCGCCGACCAGCGCGACAAGAACCGCGCGGCGCCGCCGGCGGCGGAGGAGGAGGATTCTTCTTCTCCCGCGCTCCGTCGACGCCTTCGGGTCCACCGTCATCGCCGAGGGCGCGGACGACGCTCGCCAGCTCTACTGGGTGCACGCCTGGACCGTGGGGCCCGATGGGGTGATCACCAAGCTCAGAGAGTACTTCAACACCGACCTCACCGTCACCCTCCTCTCCTCCGGCGCCGCCTCCTCCGCCAAGAAAGCTGACATTGAAGGCGCTCCGCCTAAGCAGCAGGACGCTGCCTCTTCTTCCTCGTCGTCCCCCTCGGCAGCAGCAGCAGGGCCCAAGTGCCTGTGGCAGAGCCGCCGCGCCGACAGCGCACACAAGTCGCTGCCGGGCCTCGTCCTCGCCATCTGAAGAGACTAGAGACAGCAAGATCGATCTACCCTCCATTATAACCGTATAAAGATCCTAAAATTCCAAACTATTATTGCAGAAATAATGTGGAACTGCTCTAGTCGTACTCTGTATTCAGAGCCAGTCAGTGAAGACGTAGTGACGTAGTATGCGTATGGACTGGACTGAACTGAACTGCTCCGTGTCGTGACTTGTGAGGTTCCGGTAACAGTTGCTTAGCTTGTGTCGTGTGAGAAAATTGCAATCAGAGGACACCAAACACCGCGCAATCGTGGACTTCGTTAAAATAACCTTGAAACTTTGGTTTTTTATTTTAGACGATATTTGATGTATTTCTTCACTTTGTTAATCAAAATACATGTATACGGTGTATTATATATGGCCAAACGGGCGCCCGACGCAACATCGGCACGGACAGAACGCCCGGCCCGGCAGGTGCGGCACTTCTGGCGACGCGGCATGTTAGCCGTGTCGTGCTGATAGTGCCGCCGTGCCGACTCGATGGCCCTGAACGCGGCACTATCATGGCTTAGGCGTGTTGCGTCGTGTCGCCCACCAAGCACAACGCAGCGGCCCGTAGTGCTCGTCTTAAGCACTAACACTAAAAGTGTCAAACACCTCGAAAACTTCAGAATTTTAACGAAAACTTGTACAATACATCAAATTTTAGAAGATCACACTTTGACAAAGCAGAGATACAAGTTCAAACTTTAACTGAAACTTGAAAGATAACAAACACGTAAATGACCGGAGAGAGAACAAAATAAAATTTTATTGGAGCTTTAGTGCAATGGTTTGCCTCATTAAAAACTCATCTCTAGGTAAAACTCACCCTTGAGAAACCCTAGAGCAGGGAAAAAAAAGTACAACCTAGCTCCTTTTAAGTTCATTGTCCTTAAATCAAAGTTCATAAGTCCAACATATTACAGTCCAAAGACATAAATGATAACTAAGACAACTAATCAAGATAAAGTTCTTCAAATGCTTCTTCAAGCTCCCGGTCTTCCACATTGTCTTTGCATCCTTGCCTCATTTGCCTCCAAGTCTTTGATGCGGTGAGCATCTCCACCATCTCGACCTTGACCTCCTCCGCCGCTCCTCGATTATCCCGCCATCATACTAAAAAGTGGACTCGGAAGATATGGTAGAAACAGAAGCTTAAAATATCTTTAGCCATGATTGATGAATCTGGATAAGTGAGTTTGTGCTCATGCCACCAGTTCAACAGTTAAAATCATCATCTAACCGGCTAAAGGTCACAGTCCAAGTAGGAAACCAGTTCGAAGTATTATTAGAAGAACTTGCGGCATGCGATGAGGCGATTGCAGAGGTATGTCTAGACAGATTAAGAGTACCGATAGAGGATGGATACCACCTGCGAACAATCACCTTCATCATCATCATAAATCTCATCCCAAGCGGAGACCTTTTCTTACCAGGAGCGAGTTTAGGAGGGACAGGTCCTCCTCAACCTAACAGATCCAAATTTCTCCTCATACTTATTGTAAACATCAGTTAGTCGAGCTCTAGTGGCAAGTGGTGGTAAGTTTCATAGGATGTCTTTGGTAAGGCTACCCAACCTCCTCGATACTTCTGCTTTGAACCTTTCATTTTAGCTCTAGGATCTAAGATGAATGCAAAAGAATATAGCAAAGGAATATTCCTCCAAATTTTTATTATATTTGTCTATCATTGGTTGAATCACATATCCGAGGTGAGTGTCATTACCATAGTTTTTTAGGTGTATAGCAATCTTAACTAGATAATGAATCATAAGTGGAGATGTAGGATAGTACACACCGGACAAAAAGCAACAGTAGCATCATAAAACAGTTCAAGAAATTTAAATACTTTTTGTACAACAGCCCAATGTTCATCGATTAAAAAGCAACTCGACCACCTTCACCCCTAGGATAGTGAGCATGCATGAAAGTAGTGAAAGGAGTCCTGGTGAGGAAACAAATGCTTGAGCATCGATATGTAGAATTCCACCTTACCTCCATGTCCAAATTGAAATTTCCTAGGTCTAACACGATGGCAATCAATAACTTTTGTATGCAGCAATTCTCCGGTTAGATGAGTTCGTAAATGATATTGCAGTTCTAAATGTTTCAATCAAAGGTGAAGAGCATTAAGGGCCTCCTTAACAATGAGATTTATGATATGACACGCTGTGCCGATGCATAAACAAAGTACTAACTGCATTATCGGTTTCATTTCTATCATTTCTATCATTATCGGGGTACTTCAATACCAAGATATTTAGATAGTACAGGCCTAAGTGTACGCATGGCGTAAAAACATTAGATGAGGCATTGTCCAAAGTAACAACAAAAGACCTTTTTCACCAAACCATAATCGCAAGCACAGATATAACCCTTTCGGCAATGTTTTGTCCACTATGGGACACATCAATAAGCACAAGACCAAGCACCCTCTTCTCTAGTTGCCAATCGAGATTTATGTAATGAGCAACCACACTAAGATAGTCCTCTTTGACATTACCGGACCAAATGTCGGAGGTAAGACAAACACAATTTATAGCGAGATGAACTAAGAGTCTCAACAAGCTTAGTCTTTTTATCGGTGAAGTATTTGACTATGTCTCCGGTGGTGGTTTGTCTAGAGACGAGAAACAAACTTTGGATTATGAGCATTTCTAATGTAATCATAAAAAGCATCGGTTTCACCCATACGAGATAGGCACATCAAGTCTACAAAGCAATCGAACCCGATTCGGTCTGAGAGCAACAATAGGACAAGATACTCCCAAGAACGCATACTACCATCGAGATTAAAAGATATCTCGAGACCGAGTCATGCGAGTTTTCTCATTCCTCTTAACACATTTGCCCCTATGACGAGTGAGGTGACCAAAGGCCACCACTAGAGAGAGCGAGTCTTGCTTATTGCAATGGATGCAATGAGCGGCATACCTTACCTTCTTACCTTTGGGACCTTTTTTGAACAACTTCTTAAAATCGAGCCACACGGCCCGAGGTAGAAGGACGTGGCGCTTGTTGTCGTTGTCATCCTCTCCTTCTTCTTCTTCGCCCCCTATTGCATCATTCTTTGCCGCCATCGGCTACAATGGGATCCTCAACGCGACGGCCGAACAGCTCCATGGCGTCCTCTCGCGCAGTCATCCTCGTCGTCATCTCCGGCTAGCCCGCACATCCGCCTCTCATCGTTGGCGCCGACCTCAACGGTCTCGTCGGAGGAGCGGGCCATCGTCACTCATGCCGCCCGGTTCCTCAACGGCTTCACACATAAACAAAGAATCGATGCGAGATCTAGTTAGGGTTAGGGTTAGGGTTAGGGTTAGGGTTAGGGTTTACAGATTACCTTGGCGGCGGAGCACCGGGAACGCCCGGCGGCGTCGTCGACAACGCGGGATCCGGCCCTCTGGTTCCTCGACGGATCACGAATCAAGAGGGACCTACAGGGGCGGGAGCACATCGGATCGAGATCCGGAGGGGATAAGAGAGGAAGAGCCAGATCTGGAGGGGAGCAAAGCTCAACTTACCGACATCCGAGCACCCGAGTTGCCGGGGCCCGGCGAGGTCGGCGACGGTGACGAATGAAACGACGAGGTGGGCGACAAGGATGCCACCGGGGGCGAGAAGAAGAGAGGAGACACCACCGGAGAGGGAGACGAAGAGAGGAGAGAGCCGCTCGCGAGGTTAGAGCGAGAGAGGAGGAGAGAGAGGGGCTGGAAACAAATGAGCTAGGGTTTCGTCGATCACGGGCGGCGGGGCGCCGGCTTATATCCTTTCTTTGGAGCCGTGCCAAGGCCGTGCCGGCTTTGTTTGCCGTGCCGTGCTCGGGCCGTGCTAAGCGGGCGAGTGGCGACCGAACGGCACAGCATTGTTGGGCGGCCGTGCCGTGTGCACGGCACGGCGGGCCGGGCGGGCCGGGCTGGGCCGTGCTTTTTAGTGCCGTGCCGTGCCGCCCCTGATGTTAGTGCCATTTGGAAAACTATACGGTGTATGAGCCACGCACTACCACCGCAGACAATACCACGCCAGTCCGGAACTTCCGTGTCACGAGTACACCCATGGCGGCGGCGCGCGATGGATTGGGTTGGTTCACGGCGCCGGCGCCACGGCGGCGACGGAGACCATGCTTGTCGACGCCCATAGAGCGTTCTTTGCCGCAGCAGAGGCGGTAGTACCCTTGCTCCCCTACCGCTTCCCCATGAGTTCTTGATGATCCTGTTGACACAAAATGTGACGCCTTGCGCATGCACACACAAGCAGCCGGCAAGCGTAGCTTCAATCGGTGCCCGGGTGCTTCGTGATCCGAACGTGCGGTCGGTTTGACTGAAAAAACCGACAAGGGATAAAACGATTAAATGTCAAACCGGAACATGTCGGGTGAGACCAGACGATTCCGTATATACGACCTGAAGCCACTTACAACGACATACAGCTATAGGAAGTCATGCGCCAACAAGTTTATAAATCATTCGCTAATCGTAGGGTGGACATACGTAAAGATCTCGATTGCGAATGCATATGCATGGGAAGACATGTTTGAACAAGTGAAATTGATTATGCGTTAATGCATATCCAAGCTCGACAATCCAAATTGAGTTGGGGTCCATGAAGAAGGAACGTGTAGATAAACACGATTAAGCCAATCTAAAACTCGTCTCGCCGCATACGACACCTAGTTTCGTCAAAAACTTAAACGTGATTAACATACATGAACCCACAACATGTGACAATCTAGATTAAAATAATTCAGCCATTACGAGCATGTTATCTATTTGCAAAGGTATTATGAAAGTAATGATCATTGAAGCTCGAATAAAACCATAGAAGAGGGCCGAACAATATCAGGTCTAGATTGGGCAAAAGTGTGCTACAAATATATAAAATATTTAAAACATGCAACACAGATAACTTGATGAATCTATTTAGATTTTGCCGTAAATCTAATAGAGCCGATAAGCTGTCTTGCTTCCACTAAGCATATTGAGCAAACGCACGCGCATA